ATTCTAGAGTGGAGTGTTTGAGCAAACATGATGAAGAAAGCAGTGTCCTCTAGCCCATGGTTAGGACAGACCACGGGGAGAGGTGGGGCACGGAGGTGCAGCATCCCTCAGGAGTCTGGGGATCATCCCGGCGGGAGGTGAAGATGGGGTCCGGGGGAGTCCCTGGGCAGGTTAATCCCAGAGACGCTGAGCAGGAGGGCCAGGTGGAACTCGACCTCGCTGGCTGGACTTAGGGTGGAAATGACAGAGAGAAATGAGTGGTCTCTGACACGTGAGTGAACCAGTAGTTTGCAGTAACACTGCAGCAGAGGTGGCATTTGGAAATGCGGGTGACCGGTTCCATCTGTCATCACACTCGACCGGAACCTGAGACAGCGCAGACATGTCCCTGCACTTGGTGAACTGGGGTCTGCCGTGGATCTTCAGAATTGGAGGTGGAAGTGTCACCCGAAAGTCATGGCAGCCTGGCTGGTGGGAGGGCGGAAACTGGTCTGGCTCTGGAGGGGGCCTGGTGGAGAAGAAAATCGAGGAGTGGAAGAGAGAGGGGCAAGAACTGGGGGGCTGTGCTGGGACAGCAGGCGGTTAGTGAAGTGGATGAAGAGCCAGGAGTCCAAGGAGGGCAGGTTTCAGGAAGGAGGGGCGGCAGGCAACAGTAAATGCAGGAAGAATGAGGTGTTCTTTTGTTTTTGGGTTTTTTTTTGATGAGGAAGATTAGCCCTGAGCTAATATCCGTTGCCAATCCTCCTCTTTTTCCTGAGAAAGATTGGCCCTGAGCTAACAGCTGTGCCCATCTCCCTCTATTTTGCAGGTGGGACTCGGGCCACAGCATGGTTTGATAAGCAGTGTGTGGGTCGAGCCCAGGATCCGAACCTGCGAATCCTGGGCCCCCAAAGCAGAGTGCACAAACTTAACCGCTGTGCCACCGGGCTGGCCCCTGAGAATGAGTTTTATTTAGAGGATTTCACAAATTCCATGAGGAGGCATTGGTTGTTACTTTTTAAAAACTTTATAATACTTAGAATATGAAAAAGTTGGTAGAACTGGTTTAAAAAACCTAAATATAGAGAGTTTAATTTTTGACACCTGAAAATTTCCACACTTGTTACACGGCAAGATGCTAATATGACATTGAATGGGTGTTTTTTCTCAAAATAGTGTCTTCACAATGGTAAACCAAGTATCTGAAACACATAGTTAGGAAAACACCTGATGTTTAGTATCCAGCGAAAGACTATTCTTTTTATCTAATGCAAGCTTTTTATTGACAACAATCTCTTTCATTCCACCTGCTCCCGCACTTGCTTTTAAAATATTTTAAATTATCATATTACACTTTTCTGAATCCTTCTCTTGACTTTAAGTTTTGGCAGTTTTATAGTTTGTCAAGGATAAAAACCACAAGAGGATTTCTGGGGTAAGAGTTAAAAGAGGTGTGGTGTATTTGCATAGTCACATTTTTTGTTAAAAAAAGTCAGGATACATGTGTCTGAGTGATTCAAGCCGAAGTTACTCTTTTCGTGCTTCAGAGTGTGGCCTGCGTTGCCCTTCTTTCCGGGAAGAAGACTGGACACCCAGTCTGAGTGTGAGAGCCCCGTCAGCGGGGTCCCCTGCCAGGCAGAGAGCTGACTTGAAGTGATTTGTGATACTATGGAGAGCGAGACAGTCATCTGAGGTAGCAAGGACTGAGACCCCATCGCAGCACCTGCCTCCTGAGGTGTATTTCACGGAGGCAGAGAGCAGAGCTGTCCTGATATGTGGTATGAGCAACTGCCTAAAATGGAATTTAAAGTTGACTTAGAAAATGATTCCCCCGCCCCCAGTGCCAGCAGTAGATGGTGTTCCACTTACGGTCCATCGTCACTCCTGAACATCTCTGCGTCACGTCCTCTAGGCTGTGAGCTGAAGAAGCCACATGTGGAACAGGGAGGCAGTGTTACACTTGGTGAGCCACTGAAGAGAGAGAGTGTGTGTGTCTGCATTATTCCCCCTTTCAGGACTAGACAGTTGAATCTGAAATTCATATGGGACAGCAAAAGAGCAAGAATAGCCAGGAAAATCTGTAAAAGAAGAGTGTTGAGGAGGAAGTAGCCCCATTAAATATTAAAACATATTTAAAAGCTATAGAAAGTTTTTTGTTTTCATATAGGTCTTTCTGTTTTTTGCACAGCTTTGTGCAGGTGGAACAGAGCTACGATGCGTTGCATATAGTGCCCACCAAAAGTGCACAGTGTGGTAGAACTTGCACGTCCGTGAACCCATCCCCAGTGTTGATGGTGCACATCTCCAGCCATCGTCCTGGAAGTTTCCTCTGCCCTTGTCGTCCCTCCCTGCCAGCCCGTCCCTGAGCTTCTGATCTGCTTTCTGTCCCTGTGAAGTCTGTAGAAATTAAACATTGTTGTACAGATACATGAATAGACAGGTAATGGAACACACAGAAGTCCAGAAATAGAAACAGTAAATAATGGAAATTTGTTTTATGATAAAGATGGCATTTCAAATCAATGAGGAACAGATGAATTATTCAGTAAAAAGTGTTGACAGTTGGGTAACCATCTGGCGAAAAAAATAAACCAGAGTTAGAGATATGCCTCATAACCAAATTTGAGGCAGATCAGAGATTTAATATAAAAGAACTGGAACCACAAATTACTAAAAGAACTTTAGGGCACTTTTTATAGCTTCTTATTGGGGAAGGCTTTTCTAAATTTGCTTCCAAACCCAGAAGCCATTTATGGGAAAGGATTGAGAGATATGAAAGATTGCTAAACATAAAAACGAAATTTTCCGCATGCCATAAAGTAACCATAAAGTTGAAAGGCTGTGAAAAAAATTAAAATTCATATCAGAGATAAAAAAATTAATCTCTTTCATGTGAAAATACTTCCTACAAATAGTAAGAAAAGACCTACAACTCAAGAGAAAAATGGGTCTGGGCAATTACAGATCGTTTAATACAAATGGTTCCTAAACATGTGAGATGTTCAAGCTCGTTCAAAATAAGAGAAGTACGATTAAAATTACAATGAGAAAGCCTTTGGAGCTGTCCTGTTGACAGTCCAGAAGTCCGCTAGCACCGCGTGTAATGATGGTGCCGGGGATGCACACCGCATGCACTGCGGGTCGGGTTCAAGTCGGTGCCCCTTCCTCGGGAGGCAGTTGGCGGTGAGTAGCCAGCAAAGGACGCGAGCACGTCCTCTGACCAGCAGTTTCACATCTAGGCCTGAGCTTAGAACCTGCCTGCACCTGTGTGACGTGACGTGTGTGCAGTTGTGTGTGTAACAACAAAAGTTGAGAAAGTCCTTGGAGAGGACTGGTGGACAGCCAGCGTACGTCTGTGAGACGGGACGCAGGCAGCCTTGACAGGACTGTGGCGGCTCAGCGTGCACGGCGCACGCACGGGTCTGGGACACTGAGGTGGTAGCGGAGGGAGCCCGCTGCAGGCTGTGTGTGCAGGGCGCCACATTTCAGGAGGAGGGTGCAGATACACGTGTGACCACACTCCCGCGACAGCTGGTGACAGTGTTGCCTTCTGGGAGGGAGGCCGGTCCTGCGCACCCCTTTGTGTCGTTCCAGTTACCCGGAGTGAATTACCTGTCCAGAAAATTAAAACTAAAGGTAAATACAGGCAATTGCTGATCTTTAGGTCCAAAATGGAATAGTATTTGAAACTTCTGAAGCGGCAAGATGACAGTGAATTTTTAGGCTTTTTGTTTGGGTGATCTTTTAATGGTAAGTTAACTGGTTTCTTTCTTACGAGGCCTGCTCTGGTACAGCGCTGCCCCGAGGGAAAGGACCAATCCGTACCGATCACCAGCCGTGCCTGGGTGCTGGTGTCTTGTCAGTGGAATTAACGCAGAATTTTCCATTCACAGACGCATCTCACCCATATGCACCTTGAATCCTCGTAGCAATCAAAGGGATTATTAGGTGGGACTCTCTCCATGTTGCAAAGGCAGCCTAAGGCACAGAGGTTTGTTGTCTTGCCCAAGACCACAGAGCCAGATGCCCCACACTCGGGCAGCAACACTGCGTTCACCAGGTTTATGTCTTCAGTTGATGTTCGTTGTCGAGGTTCTAGGATGATGGCCGTTTTAGGGCCCAGGGCTGGGAAGAAGGTGGGCTCCAGGAGGACGATGTTCGAGGTGGCGTTTCACTTGAGAAAGTTTGTTCATACTCCGGAACTGAAACTTCTTCACCTTAAAGGGGGAGCCCTGTTTCTCGGAAGGGGCACGCCCTGCACAGAGCAGATCCTGGTTCACTTCGAGTGGCTCACCAGTCACTTCACAGCCTCAACAGTTATGAAGCCGGGTCCGTTTTCAGAATGTCATAATGTAGTGCTTCTGTTCTTGGACTGTTTTTCTGCTGAAAAGTAAGAAATACTTTGGGGAGCCTAGTCTTGTGTGCCAGCCCCTCTGAGAACCTGCAGGGACGTGTCTCCATATGCCTATGCTCAGAATCCGACGTCCATTTCTGGGGGTTTTGCCTGTCCCCAGAAGCCCAGCTACCACCCCTCTGGATTGAACACCCATCACAATCCCTATTTTGGGGTGCTGTGTTGCTTTCAAGGTATTTCTTAGGGATTTCCTTTTTAATGTATTTTTGACCTGTTTTCTTTTGTCCCTAAGGGGTGAGGGATAAGATCAGAACTCACGTCTCTGGTTATTATGTAGAATAGATTGATCTGGCTTGCCCTTGTTCTAGAAGAGTGGAGGTTTTTTTTGTATGTTTTTGGTTTTTGTTTTGAATTATATAATGGAAATCATGACATTGTTTATTTCTTTTTTCTCTCTAATCAGAAAACAGAGCTAGTAAACCTTTTTGACTAGCTAAACTACTGGTACAAGTTTGATCCCTAAAATTAAATGCCCCTTTTGTGTGCAGGCAGTGCCATGCTGAGGCCAGTGCCCTGCCCCAGGCGGCGTGGAGACGGGGCGCGGCCTCCGCGTGGTTCTGTTGTGAATCCTCCAGACTCACTGGTGTGCTCTCCCGGTCTTTTGCAGATGAACGTATCACCCACTTCTCTCGCCAGTCTTTATGAGGAGGATTTCAAACAAGATATGGCAGCCTTGAAGGTAGAGCCTCTCGTTGATTCCTCTTTGCCGTGAGGATGAGAAGCTTGAACAGTGAAGGCCAGGGTGGCTGACCTAGGCTTCTGAACTGTGGAAACAGTCATTTTTTTCCTTCCTTTCTTTCAGGTCCTCCCACCAACAGTGTACCTGAGGGTAACCGAAACTATACCTCAGATCATTTCTTTCATTGAAGGGGTAATTGCTAAAGGCCATGCTTATCCAACAGCAAAAGGTAGGGTATGTTATTAAAACTGGTCATTGGGTAACACCGGTAGGATTTTGAGAAACTGGACATGTATTTATGAGTTGTTGGAAGGTGCCAAACGTATTGTCTTTCTTGATGTGATTCGTTCAGCAGAAACGTTGGAAGGTTTTCTACGGTTATCGTGTCTCTTTGCAAAACTGTTGAATCGATTCTTTTTAAAAATATTTTCCCCAGCCAAGGAAGAGGTGAACCTCTGGAGAGCCAGTCTAAATAAAGCAGATACGGCAAAATGCTAACAGTTGCTGGGTGTGGGTGTACAGGTGTTCTTTGGCGTCGTCTTTCAACTTCGTTGACAATTTTTCATAAGAAAAGTTGGGGGACAATGGCAGTACCTCTCAACACCCACTCCCTGCTTAAAGACCAGCCCTTGGGTGCTCGTCTCCATGTGTGGGCGTGTCGGTTTTGATGGACCAATGGAAGAAAGCTGTGGACACCTGACACTTGACCATGCATCTCTGAATAGACATCACCCTCTGTGACCCCAGTGTTGTTGACAGGCCTGAGACACTGGACGGGCCCCACCGGCATCCCACGTCTTCTGCGTATCCCCGTGATCTCAGTGTCCCCGCCTCCCCACGTCATAGTCTGACCAGGTCTCTGAGGCGCGTGGTCGTGTCCCTTCAGTCTCCTTAGCCTACGACAGTCCCACTTTGTTCCCCTCGTGGTGGACTGGTGAAGGGCCGACCAGCCCAGTTGCCTCGCAGGACGCGCTGTCCTCTGGGTCTGCGTGGCAGCCTCCTCCCGGCAGAGTGAGCTGGGTTGAGAGTGGCTGCTTCTTGTCTGGTGGCCTCGGGGAAGCACTTGTGTCCTGGTGTTTTGCTGTTTCTGTGATCCCGCGTTGTTTTCAGCTGTGCCCCTCCTTTCCAGTCCTTCTTCCCACACCAAATCCCGCCCATCCCGCAAACCCTGACCAAAGCTTCCTCTGCCAGGAGGTTTTCTTTCCCACCTGTGGCTGAGACTGAACTGTCTCAGCTTTCGTATCCATCCTGTACCGTTTGGTAGCCAATCATATACTGTCTCAGCTTGCTCTTAATGTGTTCATGTTTTGTCAATTCTTGGACCAGAAAAACCTTTTTCGGGCTGGCCCAGTGGCATAGTGGTTAATTTCGTGCTCTGCTTCAGTGGCCCGGGGTTTGGGGCTTTGGATCCCAGGCATGGACCTACACACCACTCATCAAGCCATGCTGTGGTGGCGTCCCATATACAAAATAGAGGAAGATGGGCACAGATGTTAGCTCAAGGACAGTCTTACTAAAGCAAAAAGAAGATGATTGGCAACAGATGCTAGCCTGGAGCCAATCTTCCTCACCAAAAAGAAAAAGGAAAACCTTTTGCTTTCAGTGAATAACCACTTAGAGTGTCCAGCCCAGGGATGGGATATGCAGGTATTGCAATGCTTGTTGCAAGTAGATGACAAAGTATGAAGTGTGATAATGGCAGTTTATAGGGATTACTGGGCTGTAGGTGCCTTCCTTCGTGGGCCCTACTTGAGAGCCTAGGGTATATGGCAGGGACCCCCGGACACGTGTGCTCCCTTTCTCCGCGGCCTGTGCGTGTGGAAGGACTTGCAGTTTTTTACTTTATCTTCTTTGCTATATTTAGATTTTGTTTCCAAGCAAAACTTATTCTGTGGGGCTTAGGTGACTGAACTGGAGTTTGCTCCGTAAAGTGCAGGGACTGTTTTCCTGCCGTCGTGTAACTTGAAATAAGACGTATTACCCAGATAAACCGACACATGTTCACGAGGTGCTTAGAGGGTCTCACCAAACATGGTTCAGGAATAAGTGCTGTTTGTTTCGTTACTGTGCTTTAGTGTACATTTTTAATAATGATAACATAAGTATAATTAATTCAAAATAAATTTACATTAAGTCAGACGCCATTAATTTGGACTTTGTGATAATTCTGCAAAAGCTTGGTTGTAATTTGTTCTTTGAACTATTTGTGAAGAAACAATTCCTTCAGCGAACTGATAACATAAACAAGGTGCAGGAGGATGTTTCCTCCATAAAGGGAGCAGTTTCTTCTTCTTTTAAAGCATCTTCAAGTGGTGTTTACGCTCTGGCTTCATAGAAGGCAGCTCCCGCAGGAGTTCTTCCCTTTCCCTGGTTTATCTCGGCTGGTAGTTGGAGCTCAGTAATACACTGAGAGAAGAGTCACCTGGGGCTGTTTTCCCAGCGCCCGCTGGTTGAGGAGTGCAGAGCTGCTGGCCAGATTCTCTCCCGGCCAGCATTAGTGCCGGTTCCCTGCTGGGGAGGCACAGCAGCCCCCCTCACAGTGAGCAGGTGAGCAGGGTCGGAGCTTCGTTCTCGCGAGAGCTCCGGCTCAGACACCTACCTCCGTGCCCGCTCTGCCTCTTTACACTTTCTGGTCGGAGGTATCCAGCGCTGGCCCCGTGGCGAAGGGCATCTCGCACCCTCAGTCTAACACCCTGGACCGTGCGCAGCTCAGTGAAAGGACAGCGTGGGGATGCTTGAGCGTGGAGATGTTTGTACTCTAAGTAGAAAGGTCGTCTCAGAGATGCCTGGTTGAGAGGGCTTTCTGTGCTGATCCATGTGTAACATAAAGCCCAGAGCGGGATGCAGGCCAGTGATAACACTTTCCCTTTTTCTGGTTAAAAAGAATTGTCTCAGCGTTTTACACAGAACTTACATGTGTGTCTTCACTGCCACATCCGGATGCTCATGGTGTGTCAGACGCATGCTTTTGTAAAGTGGTAGCGGTGGTGGTAATTCTGGTTTAAAAATACAGGAAAGGGAGCCAAGTGGAGGCCAGATGCCACCTCCTCTGTTTAAACTCTGATTATTTGGTAACTATTACGCTCATAGGGATGCTGATTTTTAAGACTGAGAAATGATGAATGCATAATTACCTTTATCAAACAGGCAATGTCTACTTCGATCTGCGGTCGAGAGGAGACAAGTACGGCAAGCTGGTGGGTGTGGCCCCCGGCCCGGTGGGAGAGCCAGGTGGGTGAACCCTCGGCCCCAGGCCGGGTTCTGGGGGCCGAAGCACAGAGATCCCCCAGCTCAGTAGAGAGCGAGGACCCCCACTCGTGCCAGACCATTGATCATAGCCATGTTTTAAATTTAATTTGGTTTTCTCGAATGGGAAAACTTGTAGAGGTTCAAGTTCACACAGCAGGTTGCACAGCTGCTCCTCACCCTGCCTGGTCCTCCTGCTCTTCTCCCCGAGACGGGGCATCCACCCGTCCTCCTGGTTCCTTCCAGAGGTGGTCTCTGTGTGTGCGTCCTGCACAAACATGGTGTCATGTTTAATGCTCTTCTCCATCTTGCTGTTATCGTATATTAGATTCCCATAGGTATTTTATCACATGTTAAATTCCCATATAAATTTTCCCGTATATCACATTCCCATGTATTTGAATCTATTCTTACACTCTCTTCTGTTCCAGTAATTGTTAGATCAAAGTCATTTTCATGGAGAAGAAATAATAAGTATGTAGAACTAAATTAAAAATAATTTTAAAAGGACGCTATTTAAGAGAACCAAGCAAAACCCCAAAAGACATTGTCGCCGTTATTTCTGTTTTTAGGCACAATCCTCCTGCCCTGTGAACTATGCTGTTGAAATCCAGTTACTGATAGCATTGTTGGACTCCTCAGAGATGGTACTGTTGCTTTTACTCAGGCAGTCGTATCCTGCTCCCCTCCCGAAAGGCCAGCACAGAAGACCCCTGGCTCCCCCCGCCCCAAAGCCCCCCACCGCCTGCAAGCGTGGCCATGTGCCTCGGGGCAGAGGACGAGTTTCTAGACTCACACGTTTGAGCATCAGCAACGCTTGTTTTTTTTCAAATAGACTTATTTTTTAGAGCAATTTTAGGTTCATAGCAAAATTGAGAGGAAGGTACAGAGATTTCCTATATACCCCCTGCTCCCACACACGCACAGCCTCCCCCACTCTCAGCATCCCCACCAGGTGGTGCCTTTGTTACAGTTGGTGAACCTCCATCATCCCCCAGACTCCACAGGGTACCTCAGGGCTCACTCTGTGTGGCGTGTTCTGTGGGTTTGGACAATGCATAATGACGTGTATCCATCCTTACGGTATCATACAGGGTACTTTCACTGCCCTGAAAATCCTCTGTGTTCCACTCGTTCTTCCCTCCCTCCCCTAACCCCTGGCGACCACTGGTCTTTCTACTGTCTCCACAGGTTTGCCTTTTCTAGAATGTCGTAAAGTTGGAGTCATAGAGTGTGTAGCCTTTCAGATTGGCTTCTCTCACTTAGTAATATGCATTTAAGGTTCTTCCATGTCATTTCACGGCTTGACAGCTCGTTTCTTTTTAGCACCGAATAGTATTCCCTTGTCTGGGTGTTCCACAGTTTATCTCCCCATTCACCTACTGAAGGACACCTTGGTTGCTTCCAGGTTTTGGAACATAAAATAGAGCCATTCCCGGCTCGTTGTACCTTCAACAATCACCTAACCCTCCTCTTCTGGGTTTTCTTACTCGTTGAATGTGATTGGTATTCTGGTAATTTCTCTTTCTCTCTATATGTTTATTGTCTCTTTTGGAAAACGTGACTCTGACTCTCAATTACTGGTAAGTACCAGATGAGAGTGCCCAGTTCACTACGCCCCTCAGAAGGAACATCGCTATTGTGTATTTGAAATCTTGACATTATTCAACTACTGAAACTGGCCTCACCACTGACAGACCTCGTGCTTCTGGCGTATTTTGGGGAAAGTATTTGGTAGTCCTTCTAGCCTTCATGTGGAGAAAGAGTTTTTAAAAACGTGTGAATGGAGATGTGAGGTTACTTATAGAAGGAACAGAATCTTTGGAAAGTGCTTCCTGCGTCTCAGTTTGTGGCAGTTTTGCTTTGGTTTGCCTGTTGTAGATTCTCTCCCACTGATTAACCGTTGTCATTGGCAGTTGATTCTGACAAGCGGCATGCCAGCGACTTTGCCCTGTGGAAGGCGGCCAAACCGCAGGAGATGTTTTGGGCCTCTCCGTGGGGAAACGGAAGACCTGGCTGGCATATCGAATGTTCCACCATCTCAAGGTGAGGTTTTCCTGGATTCTTCGTGTTTGTGTTGATGTGAAGTTGAGCGGGGCCTGACTTGCTTGGCAGGGTGTAGACGAGGCAGTTTGGTCCCAGTTTGGAAAGAGAGCTTAGTGCTCGGGTGGGCCTGGCTGTGCGAGGGGAGTGTGGTCCACGGTGTGTCATCTTTCCAGCAGTAGCACTGCCTTTCCACACTAGAGAAGCCCGCTTCACGTGCAGTTCAGCTCTTCACTTCCCGCCACAGACCAGCCAGTGCCAGGTGTGCCTTCATCTCTCCACGGTGGGCTTGGGAAAGCGATCCCACCCTGCCTGCCCCAACAGCTGAGGACCTGGGTGAGGACAGAGCCCCTCAGGGACAGGGCGGAACCACCTTCCTCTTACCTGCTCTCAGTCAGCAGCCCTGCTCCCCGCAGAGCTGCTGCTTGATCTGATCCCATCGGGCGTCACCCTCAGTTTCCACTTTCCCGGCTCATCAGTCTTCGCTCTGCCCTTTCCACCAGCTCTGCATCTCGGGCAACACCAGGCTCAGGGCGTTTCCGTGTTGGGGATCTCCATAAACACAGATGCTTCTCTGATCCCCATCCCCTCCAGCAACCCTCTTTTTTATCTGCTTCTCTTCTCACCTTGGCATAGGACCTGTTGCCTGCCAGGTGTCCCCACTGACTCTGGTCTCCTGAAGTCACTGGTGGCCTCCGCCGTCAGCCCGGTCGGTGGCGGGCAGCTGATGCCCTGCTCTTTCCTTTGCTTTCTTCAGGTTTCAGCCTCTCTGCTGGGGCCTCCTCCACCTTCTTTCAGACCTCCTCCATAGACTGTTCCTTCGGCACTAGCCATGGCTCTGCCGGTGCCCAGGTGCCCCTTTTCTTGTGCCTGTGCGTGCGTCTGTGTGCGTGTGTGTGTGCATGTAGGTGTGTGTGCGTTCACGTGTGGTACAGAGGGCATGGTACCACACATGCCCTCTGGCACTGTCTGTTTTCATTTAGCAGCCTGTTCTGGGACTCCCCAGGGATGAGTTCGCTGAGCCCTTCATCGTGCTGTCCCTTGTGGTGGGACCATCGTTCATTTGGCCAGTACCCTGCAGAGGAGTTTTAGCTTGTTCCAGTATTTTGCTGTTACAAATATCTGCAGTAGGTGCTGGCCTGGTGGCATAGTGGTTAAGTTCACGCACTCCACCTCAGCGGCCGGGGGTTCACAGGTTCGCATCCCCAGCGTGGACCTACACCACACATCAAGCCATGCTGTGGTGGTGACCCACATACAAAAGAAAGGAAGATGGGCACAGATGTTACCTCAGGGCCACTCTTCCTCAAGCAAAAATAAATAAATTAATTAAAAAATAAACTTTCTATTTAAAAAAAAAATACCTGCAGTGAATAACCTTGTGTATATATTTGCTGTTTGTGGAAGAGAGAGGTTTTTCAGTCTCATTATTAACTCGGATTTTGATGTATTTGATGTGTTTCAATTCATTGCAGATGTTTATTAAGCAGTTTTAAAACTAGGTATATAAAGTATGACCAAGGTGAACGTTTCAGACTACTAGCTACACCAAGCATTTTAAGATCCCCAAACCCAGTCACCCTCAAATGGGTCGTCGTGTGTGCTGCTGTTTGCTGGCTGTGTGAGTGCAGGTGTTGGCAGGGATAACTCTCCTGGAAGAGCCCTCTGCACCGTGCACCCACCCCAGGCTGTTTTCGTTCTCAGCGTGGGTTCACCCCATCCTAGTGGGTGGGAAAGCCTCGTCTTCCGCAGCTGCCTGTCCAGATTTGGTTCATCCCCGACCTGGAAGGGACTCTCCTTTCCCACCACGCCTCTGCCTGCTACCCTCCCCGTGTCTGTATGACTCATCTGGGAGTTCCTGAGACATCGAGCTCCATTGTTAGTGTGAGGCAGTGGTCCAGCTTTTCATTCAAAAAGAATAAACAAACAGCTATGTCCAGCCCTCATCCTACTGTAAACACTTATATGTATTTATGAATGTTGATTTAACAGCAATGTGGAATATATGTTGGATTGTAGAAAGATATTTATTTCTTAGATTCAAATAATTTATCTAAAGCAGGTGGAAAACATTTAGTAAATTTCAAATATAATGTTACCATTAAATATCTTATTTTTGTTGAAATCTAGATAAAGAGAATAGACTTTTATTGCTTCTCAGCTTTCTCTTATTTTAACATCGGTCTAAGATACAGACAAGGATAGAGACTAAGACAGTGAACACCGTGGACCCACAGTTTCCCTTTATTAAATCTTAACATTGTCCTGTTTCTTCAGATCTTTGGAAAAACGAATCCCCCATTACAAATACAAGTGAGGCCCCTGTGCTCTCCTCCTCTATCCTGGTCCCTCCTGTCTCATGCCCCCTTCACAGCATTTGAATTTCAAGGACTCAGATTCTCTAAAACCCATGGCCAACGACGTACGATCACAGGCGGCCACTTGGCCGCAGCACGTGGCTCCACCGCCACTCGGCTCCAGTGTGGCCGAGGATGGGCAGTTTGTCTGGGGCCTGGAGCCGGGCCAGCAGGAGAAGAGCCGTGACCTTCAGCAGGAACAGACCTCAGTGAGGCACCTCTGGTCTGTTTTTAACCATTTTTAGAAAATTCATGAGTGCCTCACTGAGCTCTCCACCAGGGAGGTGGCCTCCAGGGCTCTGTGTCCACCGCTGCGCCCCAGCCCCAACAAGCCCGAGTGTCTGCCATGCTGATTGTTGTGTTTTTAATGATTTTTGCATTTTAAGTCCTCCGAAGCAGCGGACCATTCACGTTGGTAGCAGTTGTGTGTTCGCAGGTGCTCTGGTGACGGTGGCACAAGCGTGGAGGGTCAGCCCTGTCAGTGTTAGTGTGCAGTTCTGTGGGACATGAGGTTTCAGGAACATGTAGCAGAGCCATGTAGCGGAAGTGCTGAGAGCTGACGTGTGTGGCTTTGAATTCTCTTACCCCATTCTTCATATATGACCACTAAATGGTTAAATTTTTAAAAGCCAAATTAAAAATCCTCTTGATTTTATAGTTCTGTCTCATTTGTTAAAGTTGGAAAACCACTGAACTCTACCTATTGAAAGTAAGGAAAGGTAATTTTGTAAGTTTTTTAAAACCATATATTGTATCTGGAGCAAAGAGAATTAAGTCTCTTTACTAGCAGAAAAGCTATGAATTGGGGATTTTATGAAGTAAAAACAGAATTTCAGTTTCCATTTGCATCAGTTCACTTATCATGCATATTAATTTAAAACGGAGATCCATTTTTTCTGTTCATTGCACGCAGGCTCGGATGACGTATAAGGTGTGGTTGGAGAAACTTGTTGTTTGATGGGATTAACTCACTGCTCTGCTCTGTCTTGCAGTCTGGTGTTTGGAAGTCAACTGGATATCCATTCAGGGGGGATAGATCTGGCTTTTCCACATCATGAAAATGAAATCGCCCAGTGCGAGGTCTTTCATCAGTGTGAGCAGTGGGGAAATTATTTCCTGCATTCTGGTAAGTAATGACTTCACGTTAATGTGTTCTATTTCAGCTCTGCCAATTCTGTCTTTATTGGTGAGACAGCTCCATTTGGAAATATGTAGATCAGCTGATAGGTCAAGAAACAAATTTGTTTCTTAAATTGTTTTTGAATTTTAGTCAGTTGGACACGGACTTCCTTGGATTAGAATAATGCGTGTGCCATTTTGGAACTGGAATCTGAGCTGACTAGAATATGGAGAACGTTGGACAGCGCTGTTCTGTATAAGTTTCTCACATAAAACTGCTGAGGAGGAATTTCAAATAGTACTATGTAATAATTATTATGAAGATGCCATTTTTGAGCTATAATATAGCCACTATACAGGTCTGCCATCCTCTAACACTGCCTTCCAATTCACTATTCAAAACCCAGAGTTGTTAACACCAGCCCCCGTCCGCAGACGTGGCCACGGCGTGGATCAGGCGGCGTCTGGGGTGGAGCAGTGGTGGAGTCCACTCTGACGCACGGGAGGATTCACGCGTCCAAATTGTGACACAGATCCCGGGGCCACAGTGAACTAATTTTATTACCTTTTTGGAATGGACAGTTCAAGTGTTGGGGGCAAAGAAAGATAAAGGCTATTTGGTAGTGATAGGGTTGAGAGATGCAGATGATCAACATCTAAAACTCAGTGAATTAACAAATAGCATTTCTTTATGTCCTTGAATTAAGGAAATTAGGTTTTCCCAGCGAGGTGATATTAAAGCAGAGACACTGCGGTTTTATAATGTGCAGGCGGTTGCTTCAAGCCTGTGGTCGGGCTCGCTTGGTTTCTTCCTGACAGTGAACCCATGAGGCTGTCTCCCCCGACTGCGCTTACCGCAGCGCCCCCTTCCCCCCGGATGACCCCACCAGTACTGTGTGCCTCCCGCCACTGCGCTTACCGCAGCGCCCCCTTCCCCCCGGATGACCCCACTGTTACTGTGCGCCTCCCGCCACTGCGCTTACCCCCGTCACCCCGAGATGACCCCACTGGTACTGTGCGCCCCTCATGGTGCCCCGAGTCTCTGCAATGACCAGCTCATTTCTGTGCTGCCTGAGGCGATCTGAGAATGAACAAGGCAGAAACGAAGCTGGCTGATTGGCTGTTGAGGCGCATGAGCTGTCACCTAGTCCTCCTCTTGGTTTCCCGCCCTAGATCTCGGCAGGAGCCGGGATCCGCCTGATTGCTGCCCGCCATGTGACTTGCCAGGTGGATTCTCTAGAGAGAAGGACGGAAGCCTGACGAGCCACTTCCATTTCAGCTGGTGCTCGCAGGGCAGGCATGGGCACTGCAGGTGGAAGGCCGCAGAAACGACTCCCGGGCCCAGCGTGTCTCGACAGTCAGTGCCCACACTTCCCTTCAGACATCACATGAAGTAGAGTCGCCCCCTGTGCGGTGAGGGCTTGTGAGAGTAACACACTTAGAGAGGAAAGTGCACAGAGCCCTCCAGGGAGGAAGCCTTTGAGGTCGGAAGAGCTGGATATTCCACCCCTCCTCTCAGACCTGGGAACAGGTCATCGCAGTAGGAGCTGTCTGGAAGGTGAGGGCTTGTCCCCCGCGGACACTTCACCGTGGTGCTCTCGGTGAGGGAGAGTTTGCTCCAACACCGTGGGGTGCGGGGAGCCCCTAGTGAGTCGTGGGTCAGGGTTGGGAAGGAGACTCCCGGCAGCGCTGTGCTCACACTTTGCAGCCTCGGTCAGTTCTAATGGGGTGTGTGGTGTCCATAAAACAGGTCTCGTTTACTTCAACTGTGGGATGAGAAGGAGTTTTGTTATGACTTCTACAGTCTATTAAGACAGTAGGATCATCTTCATTCCATTTCCGCCCTGTCCTGGGAAAACAGCTATATCTCCTGACGCACAGGAGAATGAAGACTTGTTTTCTGAAGTAAATGGATGGAAGATAGAGATGAGTAGTCAGATGTGTTTCATTTTCCATATGTTGTCTATTTTTAAAAATTCTAATTGTGCTTGGTGTGTATCACATGTTACATGGAATTAACGGATCCAAGGTTATAATTCTTTTTGGAAGCCACCTCTTAACCAGTTCTCGGAAAAATTGGCCTTAGCGCACCCTCGTGTTTGAAGTTGTGTCGGAAGAAGCTTGTGAGGCAAGGAGAGGCCCTCCCTGGAAGTAAACCTCGTGAAAATACAGCCCGGGAGGAATTCCAGGCTCGGATGGAGAAGTTCTGGACGTGGGTTAGGTTTCCCTCCTGTCTTTCACATACATGGGGGGAAGTAATGCCAAGGTCTTGATAAGTCTGGAAACAAAATCTCCTCGCTGATTCTCAGGGACCTGCCACTCTGCTCTGCACCATGAAGGCCTGTCTCCCAGCTTTCATTGCCTGGCGCCTGGCTTGTACACCAGAGACAGGGCCTTTCTTCAGGTGTTGGGTCTGTGCAGTCTGTGTTTCTGTTACAGCAGGGGGGAGTGTGAGCTGTGGCCGTCAGTGTCCCGTCGTCTGCCGCTGAGTGCTGAGTTGGCAGTGCTGGGGGTGCCATCGCCACCCCAACCCCCAGCCCCCATGGGGCCAGTGCACCCGACGCCCTGGGACAGGCGCAGCTGTGGGCTCCGGCAGCCTGGAGGGTAGTGTGTGGGTGAAGATTTGGGGGGAAATCCTGTGTCAGCAACACTGGGGCTGCATGTGGGAGAATGCAGGCCCATCAGGTGTTTTCTTCGTGTCCCAGGCTGGCCCGCAGCCCCAGCTCGGGGCTCAGGCATCCACCAGAGAAGCACCCACTTCTCCCTCCTCCCCTCTGCCATGGAAGAGGCCCTGTCTTCCCACTCAGTTCAGAAGGAGTGACTCTGTTTTTGTTTTTATTTCAGGGCATTTGCACGTGAAAGGCAAAGAAGAAAAAATGTCCAAATCACTGAAAAACTACATCACTATTAAGGTAATGGGTTTTCCCAGCTCCTGCATCGCTGCCAGCTCACTGAACCTGTCCTAAAGGCAGATGCGGAGCATGAGACCCCAGACCTGATTCCCAGTGTCTCCGGCCCCTTCTCCATGTGGCCCTAATGGGCTTCTGCTGCTCCTGGTTTAAAGTGCTCTTTCTTGTCCTAAAAGCGCACAGTGCTGTTTCTCTGTTCCCCCGTCCTCTTCCTCGTGTTCCTCCTGCTCTATTTTCTGTCTGTTTGCTGCTTTCTCAGTGGGCTTTTCCTTTTCCCTTTTTGCCTTCCCAGATTCACACCTCCTTCTTCCCTGTCCTTTGTGACAGTTTCTCTCTTGAGTCACATTTGCTGGATTCCTTCCCCCTTTTCTTTCCCGCCTCTCCACCAGCCCTTCTATCTAGTGTGGCTGTGGGGTTGGTTGGTTGCTGCTTGCTGGCTTCTTAACCTACCAAAAAATTTCAGTGTGCGTGGGCGTGAAGAATGCTGTGTGAATTTCTGTATGAGTGGAAAACAGTGCACTAATAGGAGAACTCTTCTGAAAACAGTTTGGTCTTCCTTTGTCTTTGGGTCTGTAAAGCCACATTTAATTTTAATTGCAAATTAAATGGACAAGGATAGTAATCAGCCCTTCATCACCTCAGTCCCCAACACTGAAAGCTGTTGCCACTAGACTTAGAGTAAACCCAAAGGGGAATGCTCCTCACAAAAGAGTCTTTATATGCTTTTCTTAAATGGAAATGTTCAATGTTATTTTATACAAAATTTCAAACATACAGAAAAGTTAAAAGAAATGGTTATATACTCACCACATAGATTCAGGAGTTATTATTTTGCTATATTTGCTGTTTTATCTCACTCTGTGGGAGTGGTGAGTGCATATGTGTGTGCATGAATGTACATATTTTATTGTTGTTGAACCATTAGGAAATACGTTGCCAACACCATGACACTTCTCTATTCTGTCTGCAACTCCTAAAAATAAGGATGCTTCCCGGGCCGGCCCCGTGGCTTAGCAGTTAAGTGCTCGCGCTCCGCTACGGGCGGCCTGGCTTCGGATCCCAGGTGTGCACCGACGCACCGCTTGTCCGGCCATGCTGAGGCCTCGTCCCACATACAGCAACTAGAAGGATGTGCAACTATGACATACAACTATCTACTGGGGCTTTGGGG